AAGGCTCGTAAATTATTCTAAGACCTCAGTTCTAATTTAAATTAAACTAGCTCATTACACCAACTTTCATTCCGAAATCTCATTCAAATTACTGAAATTAAGAAGTATTTAGAGTTATATATCACCTACAAGGCCATTATTCTGTTAAGCACAAGATCTTTTCAAAGATACTGCCTAAGATGAATACACTAGATAAGGTATATTTGTGTATTTATCACAAATCTATACAATTAGGAGAGCCAATAACGTAAGTATTCTCTTAATCAAACGTCGGATTTAGACGATTTTTATATTAATGATATGGTCGAGCGCGTTAATCCTGCTTGATAAATCACCTGAAGTAAATCCAAATTTGAATTTAAGGAAATGCGCTATTTATTTCCTTAGGGTTGTTGACAATGTTCACCTTAACTATGAGAAAATGTCAAAACATCTTTATTTTTCACAAGTTTCTAATTTAAACCTTCCAGGCTGGAGTGATATTAAATTAATCTTCTATCATTTTTCAAATACCTTTATGTAAATCTATGCAAATGAAATGCGCGGGAAGTCAATGGATGCAGGAGGGTCAGGATAGTACTTCGTGGCAGTCTATGGGGAGACCTATGAACCGCAGTGGACTCAAACAGGCTGAAGTGCTGATGATTTGATATATATATGTATATATAGAGTCACTGTTGATATGATCATTGTTAACTAATCTATTTCGTAATGTACCCATAACATATTCAAATCATTAAAAAAGTTATCTGTATAGTACAACTGAACACGTCACACAAAAGCCACGAAAATTGTCAACAAACTTACATATTTTGCAGTAAGCTACAACTGTTTCAAGTTGTTCCTCCATGAAACATTAACTAGTGAAATAAAGATATAATGTTGACAACCCTGACTATGTGGCACGCATTTGCGTGTGTGCTGTGCTCCCGACGCACGCGCCGCAGAGCACAGAAACGCTATCTCCTCCTATCGCAGCGTGATTTACGACGCGCCGGTGCATAACACATTTCTCCAGCGCCGTAAAAATCACGAATAAAACAAAAACAGATTTCAAAACAATAAATGTCATTCGATAGTTTTTAATCATAGCCCTCTCACTGTAATGAGGTTTAGTATAACGGTTGAAATCCGGCGAGAGACAATGTCATTCCAATAGTGATGACTGAATTCTTACATTTCAACTTCGACCAATTTAGCATGGTTCAAATTAGACTTAACGAAAAATTAAATTAAAAATTAAAATGCGAAGCAAACGAGAGTATCTCATTCCTATCTCAATGAAATCAAAAAGATAAAGGCAATTTAAGTGCACTTAAGTATATAATTATGTATTGGTTACCTGTATTTTAGAAATATTTAAGTAATTATTTTAGTCTGTAAGTTAATTTTCATTGTACACACCTACCTATTTTCCTTATATATATTATTGTTAATAATATAATTAAAGGTTTGCTGGTAGAGAACTCTATTTAAGGTAAAGCTCGCCTTTGTACAGTTCTATTTTAATCCTTCATTTGTAGCTGTGATTTTTTTTTTTTGTGTACAATAAAGAATAAAAAAAAACTTTTTCAAGTTCACAGGGATTGCAATCCAGCACTGTTTTCAATCCAGCGGGATTTTTGCTGGATTCACTTCAATCCAGCGGGATCCTCCGGGAGCTTTTATTTGGAATTTAAATAAATGTTAATTAAAAATTACAAAAAATCACAACATACCTCCTATAAATAAAAATAAAATATCTTTATTCACATAGACGCTTGCGCGTTCTTATGAAACGTCGAAATTTTACAAGGAAATTAATATGTTCGTAAGTTACCACCGGTTCGGAAAGCAGTTTCTGTTGAGAAGAAACCGGCAAGAAACTCAACAGTTGCTCTTTTTTAAAATACCTGACATACCTCCTACCTCTAATTGACTAAATATTTTACTGTTTGATTACTTATTTATTAATAAAAAGTTCAAAAACATTTGCAAATATCAATTATTACAATGGAAAAAACACATTGTCAACAATAAATCAAATTGGAAGATATATAGCTTCAAATCATTATCTGACACAGTTATAATCACAGTCAGTCTTGTTAAAATATGTAGAAAATTCTTTTTTCAGATATTTATCGGTAGGAGAGGTATCGTATGAATTTAAATTTACTAATTGTCTTAGTTTTTATTACTAAAGTAAAGAATCAATAAACAAATGTATAAAATTTAAAAATATCAAATAATAAGTCATTTCTCTTTTTGGAAATATGATCTTAAAACCAAATAGTAATAATTTTATCTCCCATCTACTTCTTATAGAACTACATAAATATAGCCAGCGGCCGAAAAAGCTCTTTCTGCCTCCACACTTGTTAGTTTGCTAGCTAATAGGTCGTACAACAAAGTTAAATACTTTCACTCCATTAGTTTCATATGCTGCATTCTTTATTTAATATTTTTTCGTTCCCTTTTCTAGGCTTATTTAGTGCAATCTTCATTATCAAAGCTGCATTTCTAATTCCTCTTGTAATGTTAAATTATTTCCCAAAACCCATTGACTGTTATCTGCATGTACATCATCTACAAGTTGTACATTTTCAGCGTCATCTTTAATAACTCTGCATAAAATATTTGTCATCTCTTTCCCCTCTATCTTTAATATCTAGCATCTTTAACAGCCAGTAACCATTGTTTTCGCCTAGATTTACCTACGCAACCGTTTATCACCATGCACAGAAAGAAAATAGCTTTAATTTGATGTATAAATAATGAATGTACATTATGAACGTAAAACTTATACTTGTTTATCCCTGATTTTTTAAAGTCTACATATATTGCTGTAAAGTGGATGATATTTTATTTAAAAAACAAGTGAATGAATTTCTAACATCTATACCATGGTTGGTATCGATGTTAGAAATGACCTATGACTACCATGACCTACAGAATTTTTCAGCCATACATGACCACTTCCTAAAATCAGTTTCCACCAAAGACATATCTTGGACTGCATCGACAGGTTAGAGTTAAAAGAACAAAAAAGAAGAAAACCACACCCAAAGTGGCCTGGACTTTGGGTGTGGTTTTCCTCTTTTCAAAATGTTGCCAACTGACACTCAACTTCTTTTGCGAAGTGACTTCAGACAGTGCCTTGACGCTGTCGTGAAGTTACTCTCTGTGGAAGTAGACAAGTAGAATTTAAGGCCAGGATGGCAGACATTTTCAGGGTATATAAGACAATTTGACACAGGAGGCGGGCGTTTGTTCATAGTGCGGTCCAATCTGCTTCTAACTCGTGCGTCGTGATGCACAACGGGGAAAAAGAAGAATTTCTGGACTGCTGCAACCTAATAATCTTCATGAAGAGGTCCTATTCTTTGTTCTTAAATACCATGGGCGTCGGTGATTATGTTGAGGTTTTTTTTTACACTGCCCTTACTTATCATTATCCTGTGTTGTAAGGACGTTTTACAAACATAAATTCCACGTGGACAAATACCCAGATGCGAAACAACTATCTGCTGGTCACACAAATAGATGTTCCGTGTGGGAATCGAACCCACGACCCCGACGCCGAAGCCAATATCTTAACAACTGCGCCACTCAGTCATCAAGGAGTCAGTAGAGCAATTTGCTCTTTTAAAACTATATTTTATATATAATGGTGAAACGTTTTAATTAAAACGTTGAAGAGTAGATTTTTTATATCAAAGGAATGGTTGCTATGGAAATCTATCACCTGACGATAACAGCCCACCACTCATGGACACACACGACGCCAAATTTGTAAATTTTTTGTATGCCCATTTTGTTGACGAGCAGATGCTGTTAAGTTGTTAAGTAAAGCAGTTTTTTCTTTAACAGGGTAACGATAACTTTTGTTTTCCAGATGGAATAAAAGAAGTAGATACTTAATTATATTATTTCCTTACACAACAAAGGGTAAGCAATCAAGAACTAGGAAATTCACAATCATGAAGAAATTAAATGGACCGTTCTTTTATTCAATTCGAATCGACGCTGACATGAAACATGCAGTGAACATATCGCGTTTAAACGCGTTGCCCATTTTCATTATTGTACCCTCAAACGCTCTCTAACCTAAGAGATCCCTAAGTCAGCCCGACACCAAAATTCATTTTCACCAAATTAGGGTTACCGCTTAAGACTAAATTATTAAGAATACGGGCTCCGCTCATATAAAGGTGACCCTTAAGCGGTGGTGAAAACGAAACTAGCATTTAAGTTTTTAGGGGCTCCCTTAAAGTTAGGGATCGATGGTGAAACCGGGCATAAGTTTCCCAAAAGCTTTTGTGTCTGTTTTGAAATTAAAGTTAAATAAGTTACTTATCACGTGCTCCGCGGTGAACGAAAACATCGTGAGGAAACCTGCATATTTTCGAAATAATAACAAAAAAATATATATATTTCGAAGATATGTGAAGTCCGCCAATCCGCAGTGGGGCCGCGTGGTGACTACGCCCTGATACCCTCTGTATAGAGGAGGCAAGACCCAGCAGTAGGACATGTATAGCCTGTTACTTTTTTTAAGTTATTTATGGCCCTCTCTATAAAATTGTAATCCCGACACTTCTTACTCCCATCTGTTAATGAACGCCTTAGCCCAATTAAATATACTCAAAACGAGGCTGTAAACAATTACTCTTACTTTTTTTTAATTAACTCATTCTGTAAAAGGTATTTTACATAGACCAAACACGTGGTGAACTTACAAATTCGTTTTGATCATCACCTGAATAAATTGTATAGAAATCGGAGCAATTATTATTATTGTACTACTATATGTTGATAATTATCAAAGCACACTACTGAACTGATCCTTTTTGTGTTCCGTCGTGAACGGTCTGCGCATGACATTTAAAACATACGATAAGTAAATAAATTATGAAAGTAAACCATTGCTTTCGCAACTACCCTTCGATAATTAAAAATAAAACAAACTGAACGTTCTAAAAAATCCACACCCAGGAAACTATTTGAGGCGTAATTCATTAGTAGTATTGAGCGGGCAAAGGCGTCGGACCCTGGCAGGCCATTATTCGGGATGACGGCGCGCGTGCCTGCGGAAACCCCGCCGCCTCTGTAAAAATGACTCCCCTGCCCCCCGCGCCACGTCGGGCGGAGACGCCGCAAGGGCGCGCTAAGACCCCATTAGGGGTCACGCACAGATGGTAACGTAACACCGCCGCCGCCTCTAAATAGGAAACGACACGTTTATCCAATTAGAAATTCACCATATCTTTGTGATAGCTGAAGAGGAAATTTGAGCAATCAACTTGCAGAGCGCCTCGGCGTTCCTATCACAGTTTATTCAATTGAGCTCGTAATGAAGTTACGCGCTATGAACTGTATGAAATAAGCGCACCATATTTAGAACGACCGAAACGTTCAATCATTTATCACATGGATTAGATCTTAACAAACCCAACAACAGGTAACTGTACATTCGAATTATTTTTATAAGTACTTAAAAATACAATTAAGAATGATTTCTTATTTATTTATCAGCTACTGTTAGAAAATAAAATAACGAACATCGTAAGTTTTCCTTACGGCCGTTGTAGTAGTGTCGTATCTTTAGCGATGACCAATACCGCTTTCGAATGTTTATCTTGAAAGTATGTAATACGAAAATAAGACGACTTATGGTACATTTATTGTATGTCATAAATACAGCGATATCGTTAAGAATGCGTTCATAACGGTTATCGCTTTATTATACATTTGAAATGATATACATTTCACGGTATCGACGGCTAGGACGCAGGCGCTTAGGTTGGCATTACGGTTGAAGAGCATTTCGAAATGGGCTACCGCTTAGGCTGAGCTCTTTAAAATTTCACGGTGCCCGGCGGCTGCGAGTGTTAGTTAGCGTGAGTACGTGTAATGGTAGTGTGTCGAATCGGCAGCCGGTAGTAGCTGTGAGGAGGAAGTGGCCCCGCGTTCTTGCGTCGAGCCGGTGCGGCGTGTGCCCGGCGCGTGGCGGACTCCGATTCATACGCGCTTAGGGTTGTAACACACTGTGGGGTTCGTTGATTTAGAAAGCTGGCTACTCCTTTAACTAGCTCTTAACAGGACTGTTTTGACATCAGCACTGAGAACTTTTCTTAGAAATTGCTCAGCGTATTACCTTTTGCCCAAATGTTATTTATATTTTTTGTGTATTATAGTTTTATTTCATATTTTTTGTTCATATCGTTTCTATGTATTTATTCTGTTTTTTTGGGTTATGGCAAATGAAGTATTATTATTATTCAGATACACGCGTTCTTAGGGTTGTGACAAACATTTTGTTTATTTAGGCAGCTGGATACTGCTTTTAACCTATTTTTGACACATTATCTGACAGTAAGGTTTCTCCACACCGACTCATACACGCACTTAGGGTTATGAGACAATGCGGATATTATTCACATAGAGGTCTGGCTACTGTTTTTAGCCAGTTCTTGATACGACTAAGTTTAACTTAGAAAAATAACTAGTTAGTGGTAATTTAGCCGTAAACAGTAAACGTTTAAAGAACTTTCTGCTTTGATACTACAGTAGTGTGGTACAGCCATGCAGCAGGATCTGTTCTCCACCATGGCCTCACAGAAGTTTTTTACTATCGCGTTTCGTCTAGTGAGTGAGGTTACCCAGGCCCCAAAGTAACCATAACGTTTGATTCTTTCCCAACTTACCACCTAACAGTCAAATAAAAGTCTAGTACTAGCCCATTCGCATCACAAGCGATGGAAAGTAATTTGTAAACTGCTTACTCATTATCGCTCCCATCTTGAAGATGACTAGGAGGTAACTTTTGCTGTATATAATTAGCTTTTATTTATTATTGCCTCAATGAGCATAACAAGCTAAAGGTTTTGGCGTCACGGTCCTATGAATAAATGATACGCCTAAAAAAGTTAATCTTTTTTATAGTTCAATGCTAATACATAAATACATCTGTGTATATAAAATGCCGCAACCACACAGTGTAATCTTATACCTCAATTTGATACAAAAAACAAGGTTCAGAGTGTCTCTCAAGGAATAGTGTGCCAGAAGCCTTAGGAGACCTCACTTAACATGCTGACCTCCTTCATAAATCGTCGTTTAATCTTATTTTACAAAGAGCAAGGGTCCATCCAACTATGTTTGGTTAATCTTCATAACGTTACCCCGAAAATATGGCATACGTGATTAAGATATCATTATTGAAACTATCAGCTCACTATTTACGATTACGGTAATGGGAAATTACGTTACAAAATACGAAATTCCCTAAATTAAAAGCTATCTGGTCGAATCGATCTCCGTTCCGTGTTTATTAGGTGTGATAATTCTGTCACTGCCCAGACAATGAAACAGCTAATTTCGCTTACCATAACTGCATTCGAAAAGGTCGTTACAAAGCTTCTGCCTGTAGTGCAGAGATTTAGATCAGCGCAAGCCCTAACACGCTACATAACGCAACAGGCACTCCAAATTAATATATCCTGGCTCGCGCCGAGATTCCTAATATTATATTTAGACGTGACACTCGCTCGTTTGTATCAATTGGCCACGTCTGCCTCACTGATATACGGCCGACGTTACTTTAGAACAATGATGGCGCAATTGCGCGATTACTCGCTTAGCACCGCCCTGCGATCGAACATTACTGTCGCATGCGCGCACGCTGCTCTACATTCACCTGCACACGTAAATTACAAAAATATAATACTTGACTCAATAAAATTAATTACACAATTTATTTTTTCCAACAAAATGTAAATGTTCACATAAAATGTAATGGTTAAGAAATAAAATAAACTGCACGTACGTGTGGTAGTTTTTTGACGTTCAATAGGAGCTTAAAATAAGCCTATGTCGAATTAAGTGGACTTTGTAACAAAGCAACAAAAAATAACTTCATGAAATAAATTTTCTTAATTTTAAAGCATCTTGAGGGAGACAATTTACATATTAGACATAGACAAAACCCCTTACTAAAGTATTCAATATTAATATTCCTAAATAAAAAATAAAATAATAACGTGAAAAGTGCAGTTAATAGATAGCCATTATTGCTTCGTATAACATTTTATATTTATTTGTATGGTGCACTTAGAAAACATCCACCTGTATCGAGGTTGCCTACACTGAAAAACGAAAAAAAAAATACTGAAAAAAAATCCATAAGTTTGTGTTTAAAATTTGTGTAATAGTATTACACATATAGTTTGTGCCACAAACTATATGTGTAATTTTTACCACCAAGTGTTGCAGTGTTCGATAAAATACTTGTCCTTTGCGCACATACGATGATTTAAAAAAGTGCCTGGGTACGGACAATACGAAACATACAAAATACACAAAGACAAGTATCAATTAAAAGTGTATTACGCAGCGATGAGGTGAGGTCCGGATGAGGCCGTTTGTTCAGATACTTCAAGCATTGCCAAACAGGACCTAACCACCCAAGCACAAAACGAATGACAAATCGTCGGTAGCTCGCCAGATACACGAGCACACAAATGACGTCGGCGGTAGTGACAGCCGATTACAACTCTCATTAATATCTTCATGTGAGGCGCCCCAGAACTACAAATCAGTCTAATGAGCGGGTCGCATGAAAGCCTTTTAATTTCCCATTTCGTCTGGCGAACGATATCTGAACGTTATTAATACAGAACGGGCCGGTCGCCGGTGGCGCCCCCGACGGCCTCGATTAGAGGCGAGCGCAGCACAAGACGCCCCGCGACTTATCTCCGCTATTAATTACACCGCGATACGCCACGGACAAGTTTTAATGCGACCGCTTCATTTGTTACCGCACTAAGAGTGCCATATCGGAGACGTTGTAGAAGTGATAACTTTGTGCGTATGACAGCCGGTTGGAGGCCTCGCTTATTAACAATCTAGCCCGTAGATGACTAGCGGATTCCCGGTCGCCGCAACGTGGTACACTTAACGCCGATAGCCATCGCGTATAAATCAGTTAGCCGGCGTTTCGCAAGCACCGCCCGCTGAACGCAATTATCGTGCCTATTCACAAAAGAAACCGAAATGGGAGCGAACGAAGCCGCGAGCTACTCGGGTGGTTAATGGCGTGCCGCTCGGAATATTGACCGCCTCGCGAATTGATAGGGGCTGCCACCTCGCTTTAGATTAATTCCAGCGCTCACTCCTCATGTTAACATTACATTAATTTCTAAAGCACAAACTAACATTCCTCCAGCGGTATTCAAATGTAATATCGATAAATTACTAATCTAAATACATGATGTTTAATAATCTGACTCGGAAGACTTGTATAATAAAGCGTATTATAAAAGGTGGGGTGAACTTTAATCCTTATTCTATAACGATAGCAGTAGGTAACTTTCTCTTTAACCCTCTCTTTGCACAGAAAGAGTGAATCGCACGAGCTGATGCGGGTAAGATGTGAGAGCTGTTATTATAAGAAACAACATAATAAACTTTATATGGTATTATATAATAAACGATATTAATATTAAGAAACAACATCAGATTAATTCATTAACTATTGACTGACAGAAAAGATATTCTTCTTTATAAAAACAATATTTTCGTAACATATTTACTAAGACTCCGCTGTCTGTCCGTCTGTCTGTCTGCCCGTCTGTCACCTGGCCATATCTTATGAACCGTGATAATTAGACAGTTGAAATTTTCACAGATGATGTATTTCTGTTGCCGCTAAACCAGTAACTTTAATGCTTCTATATTGAGTAAAGATATTTGAACTTTAATATGTATTTACTACTACTGTAAAATACATATTAGACAAAAGCAGTAGCTCTTTTGGAGACGTACCATGACGGTATAGATGTAGAGTAGAATACTTTCAATTTTATACTTCTTCTTGTATCTTGTATTAACTGATGTTTTTGCTTTCAGTCCCCAGACTATTAAAGCTTCATCTGACGCAGACTTTTATACTTCTGCTTTCCGTCTGGTGAGTGAGGTAACGAGTACCACTCTTTTCAATGTTATCGACGCATCTGCAATCTTACGATATGTAGATGTATTGGCGGCGGTAATCACTTAACACCAACTGCGTACTAGCTTGCCTGGAAAACTATGGCCCATCTGCTGTCATGTGCGTTGTGTCCCTCCTCCTGCACCTACTAAGGCTAGTTTGAAGTCAATTCTGCTGCGGTGAATGTAGCCGAATACTGGTCGAACGAGATCTAAATAACAATCCTGACGCGAAAATAAGAAGAAGATTGTATTTAAGAGGAGATCCAATTATACATACGCCTTATAACATTCACAGCTACATCATAGGTACAAAATAGCAATCATAATTTATTGATAGCGCTGTTCGTCGCTCCCTGTAATCCGCGTATTCGTAAAACATCACACATAATCCATATAAATAACAAGCAATATCTTAAACTAAATGCGACCTATTCATGTCCAGAACAAAGAAGGAAATACTTATCTCAATGGTAAAATGATTTATTTTATTGCAGCGGTATCCTGTGCTAGGTAATAAACAAAATGGGCATGGCCGGAGTCTGTGACTTAATTATTATTCTGTCACTTCAGTGCGGCTAAATAAAATCGGGCGAGATTTATTGACAGTTGACAGTTCAGCAAGATTGCAACAGCAGACAGACATTCACCCACTTTATATGTGTGGGGCTTAATTTGCATTAGTTCAATGAGTTGTGCAGCGTAGCTCCGAACCTAGCCCCGTTGCTTACATAAAGTGTGCGTTTACGACACCGGCTTCGAAGTTGGATGATCGTAAATTGGAATAATTTATACGTGGAATACTGAACTTTAGATCTTTGCCATGTGTACCAAAGAGGATTATTTATTGAAAACAAACAGTTTTGTTCTCAGTTTTTACACATTTTATTCTCTAGAAAACGATTACGTACTAATAGATAATACTTGTTTATGGTTTTAAGCTCAAACGATTGTTTTTTATTAGGTGAAGGCACATTATCATTTAGGGGAATTTGTTCCTTAGACAGCTATAACGGGCGTTCAATACTATACCGTTTTACTATCTGGACTTTGCAAAAAAAAATTGGAATAATCTGTGTATAGTTTTTTAGATGAAATTCATAAAACTTATTGAGACCATAAAACGTCGCAATGTTCACTCGGTTAGAAAACGATTTTGTATTGTCGTAATCTTGGCTGCTGCTTCTATATAAAAAATACTATTCACCGCTTTACACGTATAAAATTTGTCATGTTATGCATTAGAGGTCAGTCGGTCACGCACCAAAGGGGCCGCGATAGTCCGTGAACCGTCCACTGATGGTATCGTGCTCTTAGAGCGCGTGGTCAGGAGTCGTCAGCGTTATCAGGGACGCCCATTGGTACGGAGCGTAGTCCCGGAGCCACGGCATCTCCGTTGCCATAACTCAACTCGATAACGCACCTAGTCGCGTACCTGTTAACGACAAATAACGGAGATAACGTTACGGCCGCCTAAACGGCCCTATCTGACATTCGATAATATTTAATAATTATTCACATGGCGCAATCAGATGCGGCCGGACGCGTGCACCTCGTTTAAAAGACTTGTTTCAGGTGACAGTTCGTTTTTTTTTTTTAATTATTCGTTTCACCTTCCACTCTTTAACCCGGCAGTAACAAATTGTGGAAATTACGAAACACTTGCAACGACATTCGGAGATGTCTACTAATGGACGTTAAACGGAATTTAAATTCAACAGCGGCCGTTTTGTTTGACATTCCCTTGTTATCGTCAATTTGTATTCAGTTGAAAAAAAACAATCTCGGGGAAGAAACTGTTTTGAAATTTA